AGCGGAGTGAAGAGCCCACCCTGTTTCAGATGGGCAAGAAAGCCAATTGGGTCCAATTTTCACCGCTGCCCAGAGGGAGGGAGAGCAGGCAAGCGGAGAAAGGCTGATGCTTCTTACAGTTATTTTTTTCACATTTGCCAAGTTGATGGGTAAGTGGCAGCGGTGAGGGGAAGCAACAGGAGGGGTTAGGGACTGGCACTAGGGCCCTGAGGCCTTAAGATACAGTGGTACCTCGGGTTACATATGCTTCAGGTTACATACACTTCAGGTTACAGACTCCGCTAACCCAGAAATAGTGCTTCAGGTTAAGAACTTTGCTTCAGGATGAGAACAGAAATTATGCTCTTGCGCGCGGCGGCAGCGGGAGGCCCCATTAGATAAAGTGGTGCTTCAGGTTAAGAACAGTTTCAGGTTAAGTACGGACCTCCAGAACGAATTAAGTACTTAACCTGAGGTACCACTGTACTGAGTTCTGTGCCTTCCTTACCCCCAACACCAGCAACAGGGCAGGTGAGCACGTAAGGAGGGTCAATGATGTATTCAGTTCACTGGAATTTAATATAAAAAGAGCTGGTGGCATTCACAGTACTGTGAGTTTCCTATTTATATTAGGAACTTGCCCTATACCAAGGCAGACCATTGGCCCACCTAGTCCAGTACTGTCTACTCTGATTGGCAGCAGTACTCCAGGGTTTCATCCAATCAGGGGACATTGCTGGCCCTACCTGGAGCTGCCAGGAAGTAAACCTGGAACCTTTCACATACAAAGCATCAAAAGAAGATGCTCTGAGCAAATGGCATTTGCCTTCTGTTTAATGGCCCAACATTACTGCCTATGCTCTTTTTGCTCAATTACTAAGAAAGCTTATAATAATGACTTGGAGGAACTGGGCCTTTAGATGCTGGAAACCAGCAAGTGTATAAATAAGATACATTTATAAAGCAGTTTGTACAAATCTATAAGCCAGACAAATCCATAAACCAGTGTAACTATTCTTCATGAATTCTTGTTGATCTGCTCCATCGGTAGGGGTTGCTCTGCTGATTCACACTGCAGAGTTCTAGTCCAAGAGGGTAAAACTTGAGCAATGAGATCCACATGTGTCTAATCATGTTTAGATTGGAGTTCCCAATCAAGTTTAAACTGGGATGCCCCTGACAGCCTGAGGTGCAGGGCTTGGGAGGAAGGGAGGAATCTGTAGCACTAAGAGGCACTTGGTGCTGAGAAAGACTCACACTTACAATTACCAGTTACAAGCAACACCTCTGAGTTTGAAATATCCATGTACATGATGGGATCCATCCACTCTTTGGAAAATGCGACAAACTCTAAGTGCCCAGGAGGACAGGAAAAAGAAGCAGATAGCAAACACCTGAAAAACCTTTCTATTTGAAGGATGGCATTGGGAGAATCTATACTTTATATTGCAAGGATGCGTACCACAAAGAGCTGTCAATGGCGCCACCACATGCCCAAACTAGGCAAGTGCCTACAAGAGGGATACGTTGCAAAGTGATTACTCTGCGACCCATCCTGCTGAACTCTTGAAAAGCTTTGCTCAGAAATAGGGTTAGATCAGTGTAAAGCAACAAACATTTCCAGATGCAGCAAATTTTGATGCATCCTTCTGGGTCAGGGGAAAGGAGGCTGAAATATCCCTGGAAAAGGAAAATTCCTATACATATTTATATCCCAGATGTTGCAACCTTCATGAGTACTGTTCCTTTAGCTATTACGGCCAGGAATATGTTCTTTGTGATCTTGCAATCGTGCTAGAACTGTTACAAAACTCAGTAATAGCTAAGAGGCAAATTGTACATTAGTATGTGCAACAATGCCGCAACTCATTTTAAAAGCTAAACTTCTTTAGGATGGAATTTAGACCAAAAGAGAAGGAGGCCATGCTTAACCCTTTCCCCACTCACTCTTTGTTTACTTCAAATTTTCCCCGAAGGTTTTTGCCTCACATGATTTTGAATGCATGTTTACCATTCTCCCTTGCACAGTTTAGTTCTGAGTTTATGGATGTTGATGAGGCAAACTGGGCCCAGACACCTGATGCATCTTTTACATTCCTGTTCTTGTGTCTAGATTTTGTGGGTTCTCCTATAAATGGTTTATGTGCGCATAATCTAGCCTGGGTGTAGGAAGATGATTGTGATGACCTGGTGGCCAACAAATGGGGCATTTGTCACTGGTCTTAATTTCTAGCTGTGTGATAGTCAAGCTCTGCAGTAACGCAGAGGGACAGCAATAGAAGCAGCTGCTGCTGCTGCGGTACAAGCAGCTTCAGGGCAACAGGACGGAAGGGTGAAAGTGAAGATCTGGTCAAATCTAGCGTTAAGAGATTTCTCCTGGGTTTTAAAGGCAGGATGTGCGAGGATGAATTTAAAAGGCAAATTGAGTCCCCTAACAGCACTTCTCAGATAGCATCCTAGGATCAATGACATGATGAGCTGCTCAAGCAGACTACTCTGACCTAGATATAACATCTAATGAAGGCTGGGGGCATCATGTGTTGGAGTGTGCTGTGCAAAAACAACACACTGGTCCAGAAAAAAATCTAGTGAATCTCAAAGGAGACCGTCTCCTGGTCATGGGGATGCATGATATGGGGTAGCTCAGTGGCGTAGTGTGGGGGGTGCAGGGGTGGCCGGCCGCACCGGGCGCAACATCTGGGGTTAGGGCAAATCCACAGGTTAGGGGGCGCAAATCCACGGGTTAGGGGGCGCAAATTACTTGCCTTGCCCCGGGTGCTGACAACCCACGCTACGCCGCTGGGGTAGCTCAAAGCTTACATGGGCACATACACTTCAGTTCTTTATTCGGGCTGTGCCAACTAGGAACCAACTTTTCCCTCATTAATCCACTGATCAGTAAGCCTCCTTCTGAAGGATAGCTCATGAGACTCTTAATCTCAAGCACCACAATGGGCAAAAGATTGCTGCACTGCGAGGGGTTGGGGTAGATGAGTTGGGCAGTCCTTCCCAACTCTGCAATTCTACGAATGTAAGATTTCAGCTGGCATTCAACTAAATTTTACCAGAGTAGACCCATTGAAATCAATGGACATGGCCAAGTTAGGTCCATTGATTTCAATGGCTCCACTGAGTCAAACTTAGTTGAATGCCACCCTTTAACTCCTGAGCTGCAGCTACCGATCCCGCCAAATCCATTTGCTGAGTGCCTCTGGATGTGAAGTGCGACGCGAGGCCAATATCCTAGGGAGTACCACGGGTGTGTGCAGCAGGGCCGTCTTCAGCAGATGCAGCGCTGGGGTGCAAATATCCGCCCAGCGCCCCCAAATTACCACAGTCAGTGCTGGGATGGCCGTAGCTGTGCACTGCCAGCCACCGGGGGGGGGGGCAACTCTCCCCCATGCCGCTGTGGGAGAGCGATCCCCGCAGAGGCTTGGGAGGCTTGGAAGGGAAGCTGCGTGCCCACCAGCCATATGGTTGGCGGGGCGCAGCTTCCCTCCTAAGCCTCTGCAGGGATCGCTCTCCTCCTGAGGAGGCTTGGGAGGGAAGATGCACGCCTGCCAGCCTTATGGTTGGTGGGACGCAGCTGGCAGGCATGCAGGGACTTGCTGGGGCGCCCCTAAGAGGCTGGCACCCTGGCGCGACGCCCCACTAAGCCCTATGGGAAAGATGGCTCCGGTGTGCGGTTTACTCCAGCAAGTTCCCTTGTGTGTCACGCTTCCCAATTAGCTAGGCTAGCATCCCTCTGAAATGGTGGTATCTTTCTTTCCCAACTGACTCATTCCAGGGGGTCCAACAGAGTATTGCTACTTATAGGCATCTCCCACTATCACTCCTGGGGCACTAGGAAAATGGACGCATCTTGGCTTGCTGTGAACATATATCTTGGCTGGGTCCAGGATTTTCCTTTATAGAAGTCCATGCACACTTTCCAAAGTGTTTAGGAGACATGCACAGCAGGTGAGTTATCGCACTCAAGGAAGTAGGAAAACCAGAACTCAAAGTTGAGTCATCTGCCAGTTTCTCCGCTCTAAGCACTAGGAAATACTGCCCAATATAGCACTGCTTAGTGGGGATGAGCAAACGCCAGCCCTCTTTGCCGGGTATGCCGTGTAATTCTTTTCAACAGCCGGGCAACCCTCACAAACTTCCAACATTCTCTCCTTGTATAAAAAGCAAAGCCAGGTTCTCTGCATCCCATCATTGCTTCCATCGTGCAGGACAGTTTTGCGCTCGTTAAACTTTCTGTGCCCGAATAGACAAAGTGTCTTTCACGAGCAGCCTTCCAGCTCCTCTCGTTCAAAGTCAGAGCGCCCGTCCAGCCCTGAGAGGCAAGGAAAAGAGGCGTGCAGAAAGGCAACCCCCCGAATTTCCAAGCCATCCTCCAGTCACCGATCCATGAGCAAGCAAACAACTCTCCCGAGAGAAGACGTGAAACTTCTCAAATGCTGCTTAGACGCCAATCAGCAAATCTCCTTTACCTTGACTCGTTCAGGTTCACCCTACCCGGCAGAGCTGGAAAATGTTTCCCAAAGCTCACTGAACTTCCCAATTCGCTGGGAACTTCAAGCCGGATCCTGACGGTTCCAGAGCCTAAGTCAGCGTTGCTTCTTGAAATGTTTGAAAGACGGATCCCATAGCAGTTTGCAGTAATTACTCAGTATAAATACTCCATTATGCTCCCAAACAATCAGAATCAGCCCGGCAAACAAGCTCTGTCTCCTCTGATCCGTAGCAATCAAGAAGTAAAGCATGCAGAACATCACAATATAAACAGGCTTTGCAGAGGACCACAAGGGGAGTGGGCAGGAGGAGGAGGGGGGGGTGTTAGAGGAAATCGGTTCTTGTCATAATAACTCCCTGCTTTTATTATTTTTAAAAAAGTTATTGGTTCTAATTTGCAAGTGGAAACTTTTATTTTCAGCAAAATGTGGCCTTGAGGACAATTCGGTGCTCCCCTGCGCACTTTCTACCACCAAGGAGGGAGAGAAAACCTCAAGGTGTGACAGTTTTGTACTTACAGGTAGGCTGTGAAGGGACTCAAGCCCCCCGGCACGGAAGAGAGAGCCAGCTCCGAGCAGTCCACTGACAGCATGATGCCATCTTCCTCGCAGTGGCACAGCGGAGGGCACGAGGAGGGCGCAGCGCCTGGTTCCAGAGACGCGACCTGGAGAGCGCCTGGAAGAGACAGGAGAAGCCACACGCAGGGCGACAGCTGCTCCATCCTGACTCCCGCGGCAGCAAGCATGCTGTGGGCTGCTGCTGCTGCTGCTGCTTCTCCTCCTCCTTCACCAACACTGCCTCTCTCTGTGCGTCTCTCTCTCTGAGCTCTGCTCTGCTCAGCGCGTGGAGGGAACCGACCCAACACCTCACAGGCAGGAGGAGCACCTTCTGAATCTCCTGCGCTCCTCCTTGGCGCAGCAAAGATGCAGGCAGAGAAGGGAAGGCATTGTTGAATGATCTCGGTTATTGGGTTTCACACGGGCTGGGCTGGGCTGGGCAGGGAGCGAGAGGCTCACATGGGAGGAGTTAAAGGGGAACTTTCTCCGCACTCCCTCCTTCAGGGCTGGCAGGAATTTCATTCAAAAGGAAAGGGGAAAGACCTGTTAGCAGCTCAGGAATTTGTCTGGAAACGTGTGTTTTTTTTAAAGAGAGAGAGAAGAAGAAGAAGAGAGATACTGACAGAGCCTAAAACCTCATCAGACAACAGATGCTGGGGGATAGAGGTGTTTGTGCCCCCCCGTGGCCCCTAAGCTGGCCAAGGGCACTGGAGGACACTGTCCATTTGCCAGTGTTGAATTAAGATACAGTCGCCAGTCCAGAAGAAGGGACTCTTCCTTCGTCTTAAGCTGCAAAATATCTTGGGTTGGTCCCTCGCGGGGCAAAGTGAGTTCTAGCCCACAAGAGAATCTTTCCCTGTAAATGTATTCCTCTTTCAGGTGCCAAGAGACTCTTGATTGTTCTCCCTATTATAGGGTCATGGTTCTCTGTTAAAGGTGAGTCAGCTGAATCACATCCTGCCATTATAATGAGAAGTGGGGGTGGGAGGCTTTTCTGGCTTAGAAAATGGTGCAACGAACTGATTTCAAACTTAACCGTGTAGAAGAGTTAAGTCTGAGAGTCATCCATACCAAATTTGGGCATAGGAAACGAATTATTTTGAATTAAACAGAGGATAAGTGACTTTACAAAGTTGACGGGTAGTGTTTTTGTTTTTTTTCATCCATAGACCTGGCTAGAGTAATTATTAGGGAAATATCCATCCATTTATACTGCGCTTTGGGGGAAAAATTTTTTGAATTAGGTCAAGGTGAACACCTTGCACATGCCATTACCCACAAGTTGTGGGGGGATGTTTGTAGTTTTGTTTTGTTTTTTAAATTAAAAGGGCATTTTGTGGCCAGTGTTATTCAATGGGAGTTCATAAGGATGCCCCCTGCACAGACTCAGTAGGAACCTGTTGTGAGAGAAGATTGTAGGTGTGATGTTGAATGGACTGTGAATGCAAAGAAGGCTGGCTGGAATATGGCCATCAAGCTCTGTACGTGTTACTGGTTTGAGCACATCTAGGTCACTTTTGCCCCCCAATTTGGATCAAAACTGGTTCGGGGGAAAATGCATCAAAATGCAGTCTTTCGTAAGAAACATCAGGATAGATATGAATTGTGGCTAACCTGTGCACACCACTTCTTGAACCAGTAGTGAGAGTGCCCTGGGTGCAGGGTAAAAATGGGAGTGTGTACACAAAATTTGTGGCTGTATGACAGAAGAAGATGCAAGGGAAGGAGAGGAGAGAGATATGAAAATACTCACAGACCCAAGGCTCACCATAAACAGTTCAGGTAAAGTAGGAGGTTAGAAGTTAAAGGAGACAGGGAGATGAAATCACAGGAAGATGAGTAAACATACCGGTAGTTTGAGAGCAATGGGGGAGGTAGAAATATTTCAGAGGTATATAGTAGCTGGATTTCTGATAAGCACATGAGAGCCTTCAGGGGGAAAAGAAAGGAAGGAGATTTAGGGGACTTGTGTGTGCACCTTTTCCTTCTGAATTTTCCCATTTTCTTTTGTGAACCTCAAGGCTAGGCTTGCCAACTGACCTAAAGAAAACACCATCCTGGCCTGCCCCTTTAACAGTACAATGAGCAAATGTGAATGTAGGGCATATTAAGCTAAATTAGCCACTTAGCTTGCATATAAATCTCTGCTCTTTCAAATGGTGTGTAATTTCTTATTAATGATACTATTTCTTTCTTTTTTGTTCAGCCAAAAAGATTCCCCAGAGTGACTTACATGCAGTCAATTACAACAAGATAGTGCCTGCCTGCAGGCTTGCAATCTAAAAGGTACAACACACAAGGAAAAGAGGAGGGAAGAAGAACAAGCTAACACAGACACCAAGTCTTAAATAGTAGCTCTTATAAAGACCAGCTGGAAATAGTTTGGGGCATGAGATGATGGAGCTGATTTTTCAACAGAGCTGATAGTATGAGTCCTGCTTCTCGTCTCCCCCACTAAGTTTTCCATTGAGTTTCTCATTTTCAATTTCAGATTTCCCTGCTGAGAAAGTTGCTAGCGTAGCCTTCTCTAAACATACTACAATTACATTTACAATTAACCAAAAACAAATGAACAAAGAAACAAAACAACCTTTCAGTTTGACCTGTTGTGTTACGGGGTTCTTATGTTCACTCAAGCTACAAAATGAAGGCAAATCACTGCTGTTAGGGCCATGCAATTAATAGACATCTTCTTTAGGCAATATTGATAGGATATGGCATTATTTCCTGTTATTAATTCAAGCTTCAGTGCTTCCTAGGAGCTGGATGGCTGTAAGTGGCAGAGCTAAGTCCCAGATTCCTCTGTTCAGCTAAAGCTACCATCCCACAATACAACCATCCACATAGAGTGATAGATATCCATATTGCCTAAATAAAGGTCACACCCTTAACAGAGGCAATAAGAGCTATAATTTCCTGGCATTCTTGGGGAAACATGGAAAGTACATTCACAATTAATTTGTTAACTAAGTAAAGCATAGACTATAGCACTGGCACTTCAAATGCATCACATCTTTAGAGCTACAATGTCATATAAAGACTCTCCTCCCCGAAGGGGAGGGGAGGGGTTGTGGTCGGGGCTCGAGCTCCGGCTAGCAGGGGGCGTGGCCCCCTGCTGCCCACTCACCTGGCTGGCGCTCACGCCCCCTCGGTGGCCATCCAACCAGGGGCCACGGTGGGGGCGTGTTCAGCAGCATTTTGCTGCAGCGCCAGCCTTCCCCGGCCTCATTCTTCCTCCTTCGCCCCTCGCGAGCCTGATGAAGTTCAACTAGATAGAAACACAGAATTATAGAGTTGGAAGGGACCTTGAGGGTCATCTAGTCCAACCTCCTACAATGCAGGAATCTTGCCCATAGTCATCCTTGAGTGAGCTCGAACCACCAAGCTTCTGAATCATTGCGTCCATAAGTTTCCTTCACTCTTGATCCAGGGAAGAGAAAGTTTAAAGACGTGCTGCCATCTGCCTTATTGCAGGACAGATTCGAGGGTAAACCATACGCGGAACGAGTCTGCCCCTGCGGCTTGATGGAGGTAGAAACTGTCTCTCATGCCTTGTTACGCTGCCGTTTCTACAGGGATATACGCTCGGTATTTATTACCCCTGCTATGCAAAAATCTCCAAATGAATCCGAAACTTCAGTGTCTAAAATCCCTGGTAGAGGACAAGGATCCTGAGATCATGTTAAGGGTAGCCAAATTCTGTGTGATTGCCATAAAACTTAGGGGAAAAGCTGTGCTATCATAATGATGAAGGCCTTAAATGATAATTTTAGGTTATATGTTAGTGACTATATTTTTTAACTGTTGCTATATCTGTTGTGTCCCTGTTATACCAAATTGCAAATTCAAATGTATCCCTATCGTGTTTTATGACTTCCTTGATATTGTATGTGGGCTGGAACTGGTCTGTGACTGAAATAATAAATTCAATTCAATTCAAAAGACAGATAGACCTTGCTGGCATCCATCTGTCTTGAGAGACAATGGAGTGCACCTCTGGGGGTGAAGTCAAACTGCTGCATTAGCAGCAACGAAGTGATCTTGCTGCGGTACAAGCCTGAGCAATGTATATGGCGGTCCAAAGGAAAGCAGAGTAATACGTTTGGCACCAGCTTGGCTGCAAGAGTTGCCGGAAGGAGGCTATTCCTTAGCCTTTTATTATCCCAAAAATATCCCACTGCGGTTTTCCTTCTCCTCAATGGGCTACCTTCCCAGATGGACGAATCCCATCTGCCCCACACTTCCCTCTTACAGCACGCACAGAAACTGCCTTCATGACTGTCGGACCCACTACTGGGCTCACCCACTTCATCCACCGGCGCCTGTCTTCACATGCATGGGAAGTCCCTAACTTATAGAGGGTTTGAGACCTTGATAATTTAATTTCCAAACACTGGGGTGGATGGTAGAAAGGGATTCTAAGCGAATAACCAGCATCAGACAACAGTTTATCTCTAAACAGTTAAGGAACTATGAATAAGAAGCAGCTTGAACAATCAGTTAATCAGAGAAGCTAACCTTGGATTCTACAGATCACTTTTCACCATAGGTAATGCAGGCTGTGGCTCCAAAAACTGGAGGACCACAGGATCCTCACCTGAGTTGATCAAATAACTCATCCTGACAGCCAGAGATTTATTTTGTATATTTTACCAGAAGTAAATATACACTGGTGGTATCTGGAATAGCGATGCTTGAAAAATCCATTCATTCCCATTTCCCCCCAGCAGGCATTATTATTATTATTATTATTATTATTATTATTTAATTATACCCCACCCATCTGGCTGGGTTTCCTCAGCCACTGTGGGCGGCTCACAGCATATATCAGTACATACTAAAACATCAAACATTACAAGCTTCCCGATAGAGGGCTGCCTTAAGCCCTGTAAGGTAGTTTTTCAATTTTATCATGTTGATTTATTCTTTGTAAAGTTTAGTTGTATGTTCATGACTCAGAAATGCTAATAATTAATATATATACAGTGCTTTTTCTGAGGGGATGCAGGGGTACGCATACCCCTAAACATTTTGTGAATCTTAAGTTTGGCCTCATTGAGGGGCAGCATTTCAATAAGAGTAGGAAAATGAGAGTACCCCTAAACATTTTTTAAAGAAAAAAGCACTGTATATAAATGTCTTAAATAAATAAATCCAATACAAACTGGCATAATACACACCTCCTAGAATAATGTCCAGATTGGAAAGCAGCTAATTTTCAGATTTTGTACATCTCCAAATGTTACAGTGCTGTCCTCAGCTCAAAAATAAGTAACAACGTGTTTTTAAAACTGCATATTTAGATATAAAATATGCTTAGAAATGTTTGCTTTGGGGGGAGATGAATTTAGAATAGTGCATGTGGTAAGGAAATACATATTTAACTACTAATTTTCATACAGATCAGTAGACTGATCCATCCATCTCTATTCTG